GTTCGGAGAATTAGAGGGCCGTGACCGATGGCTGTCGTATTCTTCGAGCATATCCGGTAATTGGAAGAGACGCGGTAAATTAGTCGATTAGAACAACGCGTTATCGGGATACAATGTGACGGCTAGGTGGATCAGACGCGCGTTGAACAGATACACGGAGAACGTGGGGCAGGTTAGGCGCGTTAGGGACAACCCATTAACCTCCGTGCTCCGCGCTATTACGGCACGGACATATTGCTTCCTGCTGTTGGATACGATGGCCTAAGCCTCTATCTCAATCTCGCTCAACTTGTACGTCCTTTTCTAGCCGTCCGCTTCGTTCTTTTCCGTGCTTCTGTGCCCGTGATCTAGCATTTCCGTTTTCTCTCACTCTTTCTATCACATCTTTGTGTTTCATCTCTTCGTAACTCTTTCTTTCCTCCTCTCTCTCTGTCGCTCAGCGGTTGCAAAAGATTCCTTCGTATCACAGGAATCACGCCAAAGGCAAATTCACGGCCATTATTCCACGAAAGTGTTTACCGTTCGCGCCGCGATACCGATGAGATATCCAAAATCGTTTCCACTTTGGAAATAATGACAGGCTATCTATAGACGGGAAATTGAAAGCTGCCGGCTCGAATCGATTATCCTTTCGCTTTCGTTGATTCCGCGCGAGTTTCTCCCCCACCCCCCCGTTTCCTTCTCATTTTTTCTGTTTTTTTTTTCTTTTTCTTCTTTTGCTTCTCCACGCGAACTTCTCCCGGAACGCTAGGTAAATTCGAAACGGCGCGGCCGGTCGGTAGTTCCGCGAAATTCACGGGATAGCGTGATCGAGGAGGAAACGCTTGATTCGAGGCGATGCGCCGCTATTAGAAAGAACCCTCGAGGTAGATGGCGGGCCGGGGCCATCGCTCGCTAAGGGCGACAATTACCTTCGTCCGGAGCCGTCGTTCTAAACGAGACGATACGCCGCGCCGGTAATCGAGTGATCCTCTTTCGGCAACGATAGTATCGCCCCCTGGAATCTGTATTCAGAGCAAAGAGCTCCGGGCGTTTGCTCCGCCCGTCTATCATCGTATCGCGCTCATTCAGGTTGCAAGTGCAATCGCGATTCTCGCAGCAGAGATCACGCGCCGATTCTTCCCACCGTCCGTCCGTCCGCTGTCACTTTTTGCAAACTGCAACTGTTAATGAAGTGAATCTGAACTCCGGCGATGGCGACGAATTCGGAGATTGGACGAAACGAGATTTCTCGTCAGATCTCTCTCGTCCGATCCAGCAGGCCAGGAACTCTTCTCGAGTTTTCGTAGCTTTGCTCGCAGCGAGGAGTCAATAACGGAGTTATCGAGCCGTCGGAGGGTGATTAGGCGAGATACGAGTAATAGACAGGCTAGAAAGGGCCAAAGAAGAAAGCCTCGGGGAGAGAGAGTGCGCGGGGGAAACGAAGCAAAAGTAATAGAGCGATCGTCCTTTGTGGGCGCCGACTGCGGGACTCAAATTCGAGGGAAGCTCGCTGGTTTCGTTTGCCTTGGCTCCCTCGTGATTCTCTAGATTACTGGGGTAACTCGATTTCGGGGATTCGAGGTCAGAGGAACGGGCGCGCGGCTTCGAGTGGTTCGTTTCTAGATACACGATACTCGCGCAGGACGCGCGTTCGACGGCTTTCATTTTCTTCCCGAAATTGCCAAGCAATTTTCGGGCTAACAGGCAGCCAGCCGCTGCGTGAACCGTTGTCAACCGCTAATTTCCAATCTTCCACGCAACGTTCCCGTATCCCACGATATACCGTAGATTGCAAAGCAGCTCGAAGTACGACGAAGTACATACATACACAGCGCTGGAAAATCAGCTCCATCGAATTTTATTAGGAAGTACTTGGGAATGTGCTTGAACCTCTTCTCGCTATTGTCCCCTTCCGCCATCGTTGTTACAAAGCTGCGCGATTCAACCCCTCGATCGTTCCACTCGACGTTCGTTCGTTCGTACCGGGAACGGTGGTTCTTGTATCTTGTAGGAAGAAAAAGAGGGAAAAAAGAAATTCCAAAGGCGAAGAGCTCGAATTTTCCGACGAACGAAAAAAAATTACATTTAGAGAAGTCACGTTCTCCTCCAGTCTGCCTTCTCCGACGTCTGAATACGTCGTTTCATTTCCGTTAACGGGTAGCAACGACTCATCACGTAGAATTCATCGGTGCAAGAATACCCGACTCCTGAAAGCTGTCTGTCTATCGGGCAGACCTTTCGTGTCTCGCATCCTACTCGTCGGTGTCTGTATCAAAGATGAAATCAAGCTGCGTCATATCGATCGTTTCGTTCGACGCAGTCACTGCGCTGCATTGTCGAGTGGATTCTTCGTCGAGTTCAGTCGCTGACTGAACTCGACGAGGAATTAATTACGAATTTCGAGTTTCTTGAATTGATTCTAACTTCCCTTAGTCGAATATTCGACGAGGAGGGAACGACGGGATTGCCATTTCGTCGACAAAGTGGCTGGAGAAAAATAAAATTAGCCTCCGATAAAACTGACGTTCGAGATCGTTCCTTGTTATTTGGCCAAACGAGGATCTCCGTCGGTTTAAGGATTAACTTACGACTCCCTCGCGTCGAGTCAGCGTTTCTCCGATCGGGGCTTGCCCGAAGGTACAACTTCCCTGGATGATCTCGAGGGTCTTTACGAGCAGGAACGAGCCTAATCGCCGACCGGAAACGCAATGAAAGCGCGTTCTCTCTCTCTCTTTCGTCTCGAGATTATTACGCAATTGATAGATCCGCGTTTGTCACTCGAGGCAATTTTTAACGTATATACCCAAGGCCAATGGCGTCAAATATCCTTGATGTCTTTTTTAGAAATCTGTACCAAATCTGTTGGCAAATGGCAAGCGTACGATTTTTGGTCGCGCGAATATCGCCCTCGATAACCCGCGTGTAACAGATTTTAGAGAACGTACCGCGTCCAGAGATCTCCGAGCTAGGGTTAGGTTCTAATCATCTTTATGCGCTCTATCTTTCACGACAGATGTTGGACGTCAAGGACACTGGCAGAGGCGTGTTCGTGTGTAGCAGTCCGGGTCCTGATCCGTACACGTCGCAGGACCTCTACAATCCCGTCTACGAGGAGCTGAGCAACGGTGAGTAACACGACGAGTTAAATCGCCTTCTCAATGCCTTGAGAGATATTCCAACTTCCGCATCGCCGATTGATAAAGGTCTTAACTACGGTTACAACCGCGCATAAACGCCAATTACACGCTCTCCTTCTAGATGAAACTCAGCTGTGAAGACTTTGAGGAGTAGCGCGCGATCTCCCGGCTCGATCCTGCCGTGGCAGAACTTAGGTAGGATCTGAGTGCACCGTGTCGCGATTAATACACGGTAGAGAGTTAAATCTAAGGGTGTTCTTTGCTGTTGGCTAACACTGAACTGCAAGCTTTCTTTCTCCTCCTTTCTTCTTCTTCTTCTTCTTCTTCTTCTTCTTCTTCTTCTT